CACCGCTTCAGGAAAGCTTTTCCGACCCCCCATTGCTATATGATTTCGAGTCGTCAGGATGCCCCCTACCCCTCTTAGAAGTTCTGAAACGCTTAACTGAGACACCCTGTATATATTTCCTATTATTTCCCATCTAATTATTACTCAAATCACAATTCAGTAACTTTTTAAAATTATTATTGAGTATTGTCAACAGTTTTATAGTATTAAAGTGTATTACGGTGGTTTAGTTAGAATGGTTGTTAACCAGGATTGAAAAGAGAAATTCCATAAGTTGTGACGTAAGAAACATTTCCATCTATTGTTAAAGTATGAAACAAACTTTGATAAGCTGAACACAATCGAAATTAATATCTATTTGTTCTAATGTTTTTTCAAGTATTTTTTTATTTGCTCTGATTAATATTTCTTTCCTAAAAAATTGATGACTCAATATTAAAGGAAAAAACTTTAAACTAAACACTGAAAGGAAAATAGTAATAGATTAATGAGAGGCAACTATGAAGGTTGGAAAGTGGAGTGAGTTAATAAAAGCTTAGATCCTGGCTAGATCCTTAGAAATTATTTAATGAAAAAGTTGGTAAAGAACTTAGTGTTTCATTGTTGTGAGAGAACATTTCGATAATTAGGCTAACAATCCAAGAAATGAGGGTAAATAATTAATAAAGCAGTTTCTTTTTTTTGAAGAGGGGAATCTCATTAAACCAGACATATATTATTATTTTATCAAGCCCATGTCCATGTTAAAATGTCCAGTTATGTTTTAAATATACACATTTGAAGGAAAATAATTTTATACAAGTATTTAACAAATTATTACCATGATAATTTGTAGTTGCTCTGAGGAACAATTGTCCCTACACAAATGACAAAACCGAAAGAGTATAACATATCAGATATAGTCATTTGACGAATTATTTCAAGAAAATCCATGTACTATAGATGTTTCATCATATTCTTTTGAATTGTTTATTCTTCCAAATTATAACCCCTTAATAGTATTCCAAAAATTTAGAAATGTAATAAAGCATCCTGTAATTATATGCCAAAAATAATAAGAGAAAGATCTTTATGATAGCTCAAAAGTTAGATCACACCTGTTTTGAATTATCAAAAAAATAGAAAAAGAAACTGAATAAATCTTCGTTCGTTACATTTTAATTGTCTTTTCCTTTCTAATCTGTCTAAAAATTATGATTATAATTTCAATCTTTCAATGCAGCAATCGAAGCATTCAGTTACTTGATTGCATTTTGTAATCTAGTAAAACTATTGATATAGCAATTGAGGCTGTTAAATAATATAAAAATAAAAGACAGTAATTGCATCTTAAAGTTTTACTTTAAAAAACGCAAATAAGTTTTTGAATTTTTTTGAGTTTTGACTTTCTTATTATTCCATAAAGATATAATTCAAAATGTAAGTTATTCTAAATCTGTCAGCATTATTTATTTCTTACATCTTGCAGCGTTCAGTTTCAGTTAAACATCAAATTCGGTGTCACCTCTTCTTCTAACCACTAATGAGAATTTCACTTAAATGTTTTTTCTTCTATTACAATTTTTAATTATGCAATCGTAGTGAATTACATGCTGATTTAATATTGTTTATTACCATTCACTTCGTAAGATCTTCCTTTCATTACTAAGTCACTTTCTAAGTTACTTTCTGATCAGTATGAGACGTTAATGTCGCTAAATTCGATCACAAATATAAAACAAAACATGCTCTTTAATCGCAGCTTTTAACTTAAGTTTTCAGAATACTTTTAAAAAGTCATTAAAACACATCCCATTAGAGGATGCGAATTTAAGTGACAGAAATATATTATCAAGTTCTGATTTAGTATAAGAGGACGGGTTAAATAAAAGCACATAACCAGTTAGAATGTTTGATAAAACCAAAAGGTGTTTTTAGAGAAACTGTTTTTTAGTTCATCCAAAACATTTACTAGTTTTTTTTTAACTTTCACTGTAACTAACACCAATAAACATGCATCAGATTTAAATACTGTTTTTTTTTTACTTCTAAGACGAACATTTTTTTTACAAAATTCGGATAAAAATATAATAAAGTCAATGATAATATAAATAATGATAATGAATATAATAAATATAATAATGATAATATAAAAATGATAATGATAAAAAAAAGGCGATGATTGTGTATTAAAGCAAAGCACCTTCTCTTAATAATTTTCGGCATTTTCCAGATCGAAATTTTAATCCAACACAACATTCATCGTCACCACAGTCAGATTGATCCGAACATCTTTTGCTGGGTGCCCTACTAGGGGGAGGGGCTGGTGTCCTGCGCTTGTGGTCACGTGGTCTGGCATTCTCAGCGACAATAACTGCCACCTAAACATAAAAATTTTAAACAGTTACAACATTATTCCCCCCAATATTTTTTTCATACAGAGGGTTCTAAAAACGCACTATCATCTCCCAGGAATTCGCGTGTATAGAATCACAGGCATGAGGAAAACACAATTTTCTATGCATTAAAGTTCCAATGCATTAAAGGTTAAGTTCTGTAATTTGGTAAATAAATTTAAGATATTAAATTTATACAATAATTTATTTGTCACCTTCATCTAAATGTATGAATTATGTTAGGTCCACAGATGTAACAAATTGATCACTACATATAGCAAAAAATTACAGATATCTACAGATGCAACCTGCTACACTGTCAAAATTACGGATCAAATTACAGTATAAATCATCGGCGCTTTGGGCACATTATCCTTAAAATCTTTTTTTACTATACAATCAACTTTCATCGTAAACNAGGCGATGATTGTGTATTAAAGCAAAGCACCTTCTCTTAATAATTTTCGGCATTTTCCAGATCGAAATTTTAATCCAACACAACATTCATCGTCACCACAGTCAGATTGATCCGAACATCTTTTGCTGGGTGCCCTACTAGGGGGAGGGGCTGGGGTCCTGCGCTTGTGGTCTCGTGGTCTGGCATTCTCAGCGACAATAACTGCCACCTAAACATAAAAATTTTAAACAGTTACAGCATTATTCCCCCAATATTTTTTTCATACAGAGGGTTCTAAAAACGCATTATAATCTCCCAGTAATTCGCGTATATAGTATCACAGGCATGAGGAAAACATAATTTTCTATGCATTAAAGGTTAGGTTCTGAAAATTGGTAAATAAATTTAAGAGATTAAATTTATACAATACATTATTTCACACCCTCATCTAAATACTATATGAATTAATTATGTTAGGCCCACAGTTGTAAAAAGTTGATCACTACATACAGAAAAAATTACAAATATCTACAGACGCAACCTATTACACTGTCAAAATTACGGATCAAATTACAGTATAAAGCATCGGCGCTATGGGCACATTATCCTTAAAATCTTTTTTTACCATAGAATCCACTTTCACCGTAAAATTCATTTTTACCGCACTTTCTACAGTGATATTTATTTTATTACAGTCGTTCAGTGATTATACAAAAATTATTACAGTAAAAATATGGTGCATCAGACTTTTTGTTCCGTAACACGTTCCGGAAAAAAAGGAATTTTACTGTAAAATCTAACGGTAAAATATCCCGAATTTTTTACAGCGTACAGACGTTCATTATGAAATTAAAATTTACTGTAATTTACTATACAGTTTTTTTTCAATGTATTCTGAATCCATATTTAATATATGGATAATAATTTTATATGGATAATAATAATTTTTTTTATAATAAATATCCATATTTATTATTAAAAAAACTGTTATTTATTGATAATTTCTTTTTACTATCAGTACATCAGGCGATAAATTTAAGTGACGAGTCGGACACGTGACTAATGACGTAAGTCCTGTGGACAAATTTTAATCAATAAACTTAGTTTCCTTTTTCAAAATTTCACTTGCGAGTGATTACTGATTTCAACTAATTTTAAAAACTTCAATTTTTACTCTAATCTTCAGATAACAGAAATTGCTGCTTTTACTGAAAATGACTCATACAATTGAAGTGAATTTTAGATATAAATTTACAGTACTAATCAAACAAAGGAATTTATTAATTAGCGATTTTATAAGCTTTATATTGTAATATAATATAAAAAAAATTTGCACACTGCATGAATGAATACTTTTATCTATATTAAAGATACTTTTCTGGTTTTCATTTTTTTTTAGTAATAATTGTTCTGAAAAAGAATTGTTTTTGAAAACACAAATAATTTTGTTTAAAAAGTGATTTAAGAAAAAAAAGGATAGATTTTTTTATTTAAATCTTTTTCTTCCTTATTATTTATTATATTTTCTGTACAGTAAATTTCGGCTTAAAAAAATCCTAACTATTTGCTACATCTTAAGTGAGAAATTTTGCGAGATATTCCATGTTAAAACAAATGTTTTATTTTTTTTAAATTCTTTTTTTATTATTTATGAAAATGTTGTTTCTTATTAGCCTTTCATAAACGAGTAAAATTTAATCACTCACCAAAGCAAGACATACTACGGCAACCAATGCAAACTTCATGTTTGGGTTTTTTACAATGAATATTCAAAAAGAATGAATTTTAACTCCTTTGATGTTTTAATTGGGTTATATAATTTGAAAAATTAGGTCTCTTATCAGTTATATAAGGTAACGCCTTAAAAAAATTATCTTTAAGAGATATCTTTGAACAAACAAAATACATAAACGTATTTTACTTCTTTTGTTTCCATTCAGAGTTTTTATCTAAAGGCAAAACGTTTTTTTTTTCTTACTGATTACTCCCTAAATTTATAACTATATTGATTACTCCCTAAAATTATAACCTTTAACTACTGCGTCATAAAATTAAATTAGCCCATTTTCTATTTTTTTTGCTCTAAATAAAGCGTCTTAATTTAAAATAATTAGCTTTATTGAAAAACTGTAGAAAAAAAATTTAAAGTAATAATTGAATCAAAGGTCGAAGTCCCGTTTAACAGTTTAAACAGTTTCTTTCCTTTTTTGTGAAAAATATATTTTTCTTCTGTAGAGCATACAGATAATTTTCACAATACACAGATGTTTCTTTATGAATGTGTAGAACATGCGTCAAAAACACTAAATGAAGTATTAAGCACAAACTTAATTTATAAGTATTTCGAATATTTTATTAATAAAAATAATTTCTAATAATAAACGAACAATATGAAATAAATTTATTGAATTGTTCTAAATCATAGCAATTTTTTTAAAAAAATTAGCAAACAAATTTCAATAATTAAATTTCTTTTTCTAAAATAATAATTCATTGAGAACTATTCAGTTTTTTTCTTAAAAATGCATTTCAATTGCTGAGCTCCCAATAAAGTCAAATTCTAATCAAGTTTAATGTTAATGTAAGTTATGTTAATGTAAGTTATGTTATTGTAGGTAATGTTAATGTAAATAATGCTAATGTGAGTAATGTTAATGTAAGTAATGTTAATGTAAGTAATGTTAATGTAAGTAATGTTAATGTAAGTTAATTTTACGGGTATATTTTGTATTCATTTCGTCATTTATCGGCAGATAGTTCCTGTTGTGTCGAACTATCATAACGTTTAAAAATAGACGTTTTTTTCCTTTTTTTCTCGTTTTCTTTAAACACATCTTAACAATCGCAAGATTTGGGGTAATATGCAATATGCAACTTTTTCTACAAAATGTAACATTTCTAGGTGAAACTTATTCAGAGTATAGTATCCAAAAGTGTATTTTAGCTTCCGGAATATCCAAAAACATTTTGTAGTCTCCCCACTAAATATTATCTGGAGGTTTTTCTGGAAGTATTTTGCTTCCTTATAGCTTTTTATTGAACAAAGATTTTATTTTTAGCGAAAATTTGTCGAAAATTTTCAGCATTAATTCTAACAATTTTCTACAAAATTTACTCTTAAAAAATAAAACAAATACTTTCATATTCTAATTTGTTTCAGACTTCAAACATATGCTGTTGTTTGAACGCTTAACTAAAAGTAAGGAAATGTTTAATTTCAAAGATCAGGGCCAATAATCATTAAAGCTTTGATTCCTTATCGCAAAAGCGTAATATATTACCCATTTTTCTATAGAAATAGATCAACTTATGAGCCTTCTCAGAAAAGTGAACATCTGTTGTTTATCGATCAATACTCTTATTGCTTTACTAAGTACCGCCTGACTATTTCTTATCATTGCAACTTTATCATTTCATCGTTAAATTCTCACAGCTCGTGTATTGCTCCACTAATACTTACACTTTTTATTTATCCCATATTGAAACTTCTTTGTGTTTTTATATCACAAAAACAGTACTAAAAATTTAGCAAGTTTGCTTGCATTTTTGTTGAACATTTTTCTTTTGAATTTAATCTTTCCTAAATATAGTATGATATATATAACTGAAATTCTCCTTTTTCCTGTGAAAAAATGTAATGCAATACACAGCAATATAATTAATAAATTGATATAATATAAATATATAACTTCAGACCCTAGTTTCTGAGGTTACGACTAAAAACAGCATTTGATACTACCTTTATTTTACAATGAAAACCGTAAAATAAAGGGCTCTTTATTTTACGAGGAGAACCGTAAAATAAAGGGCTAACCGTAAAATAGCTTTGGGGAAATTTTTTCCTATGTTTCTTCTAATATTCTAATTTTTTCCTCATTCTATCCTAATGAAACTTATCTGTCATTTTAGGTCTTTTTAACTTAAGCCATCACGTCAGGATTACAACAAAATTCTTTGTAGATGTTAACTGAAGAAACTTTATTGACAATGTACATATTATGGGACGAAATAAATAAAGCTAAATTTTTGTCTGAACACTTTTCGCTAGTCAAAAAAGACGTTTTACTCAAAGCACGTTTTGCTCTGAAACATAAAATTAAATTAATTTTTTTTTTCAAATCTTATTTTATTTCTTCAGTGGGGAAATTGCGTCCCCTTTTGACTAATAGGGATTCTACTTCAACCAAATTAATATATTGAAATTATATGTCCGGAATTCCCTCATTAATAATGTAATTAATCAATATTTTTGAAAAAAAATTTCATTTTATTCAATAAACTGTTTTTGTCTGTACTTAGCTGCTTAATTTCAAGTTCTGAAGTTTTGAGCATTTTTAAAACTTTGTTAAGATTTTAAATTTTGAAAATGCGTTGAAATNATATATATATAAACACAAGAATATAATTAATAAATTGATATGATATAAATAAATAGCTTCGGACCCTAATGTCTGAGGTTACGACTAAAAACGGCATTTGGTACTCCCTTTATTTTACGGTGAAAACCGTAAAATAAAGGGCTAACCGTAAAATAGCTTTGGGGAAATTTTTTCCTATGTTTCCCTTAATATTCTAATTTTTTTCCTTATTCTATCCTAAAGAAACTTATCAATGATTTTCCGTCTTTTTGACTTAAGCCATCATGTCAGGATTACAACAAAATTCTTTGTAGATGTTAACTGAAGAAACTTTATTGACAAAATACATATTATGGGACGAAATAAATGAAGCTAAGTTTTTGTCTGAACACTTTTCGCTAGTCAAAAAAGACGTTTTACTCTGAGTTAGTTTTGCTCTGAAACATAAAATTAAATTTTTTTTTTTCTTTCTAATCTTATTTTATTTCTTCAGTGGTGAAATTGCTTCCCCTTTTGACTAAATAGGGATTCTACTTTAACCAAATTAACCTAAGGGAATTATATGTCCGGAATTCCCTCATTAATAATGTAATTAATCAATATTTTTGAAAAAAAATTTCATTTTATTCAATAAACTGTTTTTGTCTGTACTTAACTGCTTAATTTCAAGTTCTGAAGTTTTAAGAATTTTTAAAACTTTGTTAAGATTTTAAATTTTAAAAATACGTTCAAATTTTAGTTTAAAATTTGACAATAAAGTTCAGTTAAAAGCATCTCAAAGGAAAGTGAATCTTTTAAATACCTCATATTTGGGTTATACTAACCAGAATTATCTTTTTTAGCCAGAAATACCCTTACCATATAGTAAGGTAATTTTTCCAGAATTTTTTTTTTCTTCATAAAACAAATATATAGTTGAAATTACTTCAGATCTTCGTATTAAGGTATCACACCAGTTTCCACAACTTTGTTTCAATATTAATATAAAATTTTAAAAAACTAATTTATTTGCTTTAATGCGAGTAAAAACTTGTAAATGTAACAAATTTCTGTATTATTTTATTTTTGTTTCCTAAATGGCTATTTTAAGGTAAAAACAAGTTGTTTTTTTGCATATACGCTAAACACTGTAAAAAAAAATTCAATTTCCCAATTCAAAAAATCTTTTGAGGATTTTATTTAGAAGCCTATCAACTATGTTTTGAACTATTATTTTAAAAGCAAGGGCATATGTTACTAAATTAGGAACAATGTAGTTAAAAAAGTAAATTTTTTAAATTTTTCTCACTTGTCTTTGGAAAAACATGCATAAATATGACATTTTACTTTTTTTTCTTAGTCTGCAGTTCGATGTTATATGTATGATCTAAGATCACAGGTGTTCTATGATCATAAATACTCAAGAAAAATTTTAAGCAATTATTTTAAAAACAACGTGATATATATATTGCTTAAGGTGGTGTGAAATGTAAAAAAATCTGATCTTGAGATAAACGCTTTTAAAAACTTAGCATCACTAGTCTATCCACTGTTATCACCTTGCACAAAACTGCTATAATTTTGCAAATAAATATATAAGGGCAATTCCATATGTGACGGNAAAAAAAAATTTCACTTAAAAGTTGACACTTTCGTGGAATTGCCCATAAGAGAAAAATATTTTTATAGAGTACAAGCAAAAGAAAAGTATTTTTGGAAAGCTAAGATTACAGGAGCTCTAAATTTATTATAAACTCAGTTTCAAACATTTTTTTCCAAAATCATGTTTTTGCGTTGTTAAAGGTAAGGTAACTTAACAATAATGCATTATAAATTAATGAAAAGAGATTAATAATTTTATAAACTAAAATTCCGATGAACTTACTATTTGAAAGAAAAAAAAATCAGCTGCCAATTAAAACTTTCACGGCTTAATGGTCGCCATTTTTCAATAACTCAGATACTTGAAATATCTTGAGAACCATTGAAATTTTTAGAAATATTTACTGCAAATTCACTGCTTGATTCTCTTTATAAGACATCGCTTATTATTATCCTTCTATGCAAGTTCACGAAAAGGTACGAAAAGGGTATAAAAGAAGATGGCGCATTGGCTAATTATCAAACATAATTAACGAAGCGAAAGGGGTTAATGAGATTCTCACAACTTTCTCTTCCACTTATCTGAGAGATATTAGCCAAAGCCTAATTTCCAGTGACGATTATTATTGTACATCTGTTTTCTTTGGAAAGAAATTGAATTTGCTCTGAGTGCGGTGATTACGGTTATAATTACTGGTACTTCCCAAAAATTGCCTCAGAGCATTTTAATTATTATGGACTTTCGTTGTTTTTGGAGTGATCAGATATTGCATGATTATTAAAACGCCTAATTTGAAACTCTTCTGTTGTTCGAGGCAAAATAATGCAGGCTTTTTAAAAAAAAAGTGATCAGTAAATACATACATTTTGAAACTCACACATAATTTAGGTTTTTAATTGTATTCTTGCTGAATGGGTGTTTC